TTTGAAAGCCTGAAAGCCATGGATGTTTCTAGATTTTAGTAAAGTTGATACTAAATTTTAATGTTTGATGTCAGAGGAGTGCATACTCAGCTGTGAAATATCCAGCTGGATGGTGGTATAATGGCAAGTTATATTAGTTGTATTGAAATTTTCCAAAATCAGTCCTATTGGATGTTATCTAAAAACAAATCAGATATGGAGATTTGGAAGTCCTAATGATTATCTTCTTGCCACAAAGTTGAGTTTTTCAATTAGAAAAGTCACAAATGTCTTTTATTAGGTCTCTGAGTCTTTCTTGTTGGGGAATGTTAGGAATTCTAGTTAATAAATCCTTTATTATACTCATTGTCTGACCAGATTTTTTCTTACAGTTGGATGGAATTACATCAGTCCTCTGCTATCTGTTCCTGGGCTTACTGCCAAAAGTAGCCAGCAATTTCCACAGGGAAGTTGCTGGTTTATTGATGGTTTTTAATGCAGAGATACAGTTGTCGTATAATAGCCCCAGCTCAGACATCTTTGGATCAGGAGGACCTGTTGCTGGATTCTACTTAGTATCAGAGACAAATGTGGGTGTTTTATGGTATATCAACTTTTTATTCTGTCTCTGATTTTCTGTCAAGCTGTTGCTGGTAATCTGGAACATTGTCATAATGGTTTAAAGCAGTGTTTTTCAACTTTGGCAACTTTAAGATGTGTGGACTTTACAACTTCCAGAATTCCCCAGCCAGCTTGTAGTCAAAGCCCATACATCTTAAAGTTGCCAAGATTGAGAAAGACTGGTTTAAAGGAACATAGTAGAATTTTTAAAAAGATGCTATGCCTGCCTACTTGTTTATGTCTTTCACTATTATTAAAATTTAAGTACAGATGGTCCTTGACTTACAACAGTTCATTTAGTGACCATTCAGAGTTACAATGGCACTGAAAAAAGTGACTTACGATCCTTTTTCACACAACCTTTGCAGCATCCCCATGGTCCTGTGATCAAAATTCAGATGCTTGGCAACCGACTCATATTTATGGCGGTTGCAGTGTCCTGGGGTCACGTGATCACCTTTTGTGACCTTCTTATAAGCAAAGTCAATGGGGAAAGCAGATTCACTTAACAACTGTGTTAGTTACAACTGCAATGATTCATTTGGCAACTGTGGTAAGAAATGTCGTAAAATGGGGCAAAATTCACTTAACAAATATTTCTCTTAGCTACAGAATTGTTGGGCTCAGTTATGGTCATAAGTCGAAGACTATGTATAGTACCAAAGCTTGCATACTGTAAATTGCAGTTTTATATCTATTTCCCAGACAGCAGATCCCCTTGAGTGAACTTGCTTTTAAGTGAACGTGCATTGGATTGTGCTGTTAATTATCAAATTTATTTCTATAAATGACAAATAATATCTCTCTTTTTATGATACCAGTTGTCTTTGATAATATTACACTACATCTCTGTCAGCTCTTTGAGATAGTCCAGGTCAGGAAACAGACATTGCAAAGATTAAAGGAATGCTACTAAATTGTTGTAGGATATAGTTAGAGAATCTTGAAATTCTGCCAGAATGTCAAGCAGGGGTTATTTTCTTTCTCATGCCACCCCTTTTCCAGGAATGAGGGGTTTTTTTTCTCTTTAACTGCTCCTGGAGACCCCTTATCAAGAATATCTTCACATTCTTCTATGTGAGTTGTACTGAGTTGCTTAATTCTGGAAGAAAGGATGAAGCCTGGAGGATAATTTGTGTCTTTTCTGCATTTTCTCCCATTTTGTTCCTCTCAGCACAGTTTCTTTGCTTGTTTAGCAAACATTTACAACTTTACCAGCTGATAGTAGCTATACTAAGTATGTGGAAGTGATAAGTAAATACTTAAGAAGAACAAGGATTTCAAATAGTGCAGTAGTGAAATCCCCCTTTTTGGATTACAATACTAATTAATTCTGTGTAAATAGATGTTTCTGCTTTTTAAAAATTATTTTTATCTGTTACTTTTATAGTATTTACAGGAATGAGACAGAAAAGATAAAATAATTTGTAAAAGTATGAATGTAAAGTGTATTTAATAGAAAAGAAATATGTAAATTAGAGTAAAATATATTGTTCTTCTACTTGTATGTATACTCAATTTCAAACATTCAGCGATTGGGGAAAATAAGACTGCTTGAAACAAAAGCAAAAGAAATGTAAAACAAGTATGATAAATTAGAATGCCTAATTAGGAGAAAATTTGTGGGAATAAACCCTGGATTAGTTCATAAACCAGGTTTGTGTATTTAATTAAGTTTGTGTCAAGATATTTTTCCGAATGGATCTATTTTTCCCTCATGTTAGAAAATAATTAGAGTAATCTGGAGAACTTGCAGTTCTTAATGAGCATTTTCTTGTCTTAAAGTATAGGTAGTTCTCAACTTACGACTGGTCACTTAGCCCTACAGTAAACAATTGGTTGCTTAATAACCATGGCATTTGCTTAATAACCATGGATGCACTTCATGACCATGGTAATTTACTTAACAACTGCCATAAAAAATGTAAAATCAGATCAGTTGCATAATGACCACTTTATTACCATAGTGACTTATGATCATAGTGGGCAGGCTCCATTATGGTTGTAAGTTGAGAACTACCTGTAGTTCCTACAGCTTCCCCACCATCAAGTGATCAAAATTCAGGCACTTGGCAATTGGCATGTTATGATGGTTGTGATGTCCTGGGGTCATATGATTGCCAGCTTCCAACAAGAAAAGTCAATGGGGGAAGCCAGATTCGCTTAACAAACCATTAAGTTATTAAGCTACTGGGGTGGCATGGTGGTTAGAATGCAGTATTGCAGGTTAATTCTGCTGACTGTCAGGAGTTTGATCCTTGCTGGCTCAAGGTTGATTCAGCCTTCCATCCTTCCTAGGTCAGTAACATGAGGAGCCAGATTGTTGGGAGCAATATGCTGACTCTGTAAACCGCGGTATTTAAGTCTAAGTGCTATTGCTATTGCAGTTAACTTAACAACTGCAAGTTATTTGCTTAACAACCATGCCAAAAAATGTTGTAAAATTGGGTGTGACTCATTTCACAGCTGCCTTACTTAACAGCAGGAATTCTGATCTCAGTTGTGGTGGTAGATTGAGGACTGCCTACATTTTAACCAACTTGCAGGGTAGGTGTAAGAAGACCCTCTGCAGCACAGCTTGAGTCCTTATAGAACTGGGGTCCCCAACCTCCAGTCCGTGGACCGGTACTGGGCCGTGGCATGCCAACAACCGGTCCGCACAAACAAGCAAAGCCCCACCCGCGGGATGTAGGCAGCACACAAAACTATGCACCTTCCTGTCCGCGGAAAAACCTCTCTCCATGGAACCGGTCTCTGGCGCCCAAAAGGTTGGGGACCTCTGTTTATAGACCATCTCAGATAGGAGTTATTTACTGTGTGGTATATAGTCAATTAACACTATTCTCGCTATATATGAGACCCAGCTACTTGATATACAGTAATTGGGTCTCACATAATAACATTAGTTGCTGCTACTTTTCAGATTTTGAGAATTGTTTGAAAATGTATATTGCCATTCATTTTACATATGAACTCTGGGCAGCAACCCCCCCCCAAAAACCCCAATATAATAAAACCTTTATAAAGCAAAAATAAAAATAAAAATGTATTTATTACATTTGTTAAATTTATTTGCTTCCCATCTCACTATTGAAGCCACTCTTAAATCTTGATCATAATAAAAGGTACCATATAACAGTCTCACCTCATAAAACAAGCCTATGCAGTATTGGGCTTATTTAAGATCTTAGCTCAGTGCCCGGAGGAAAATTTGGGTCTTTATGATTTTCCAGAAGATCAAGACAGTTAGGACTTCTATGTAATATTGCAAGTTTTATTGATTTGTTTGAGTGACCAATTGTTAGAACACAATATTCTAACTCTTTTTTACAAGGATAAAATATCAATAGTGCAACAATACACTAAAATAAGATTATAAAAGAACATCATCATTCATTTAAAAACAATGTAGTAGCAGCAATGAATGTAAGAATTAAAGAATGAGGCAGGTGATTAAAGGTGCTTTTACTGTGCAAATTCTGTATAAATGGATGGGTGAGTGAGGGAATTATAAAATGAATTTAATGGCTAACTCTTGAATATGATTGCTTGTATGATAGTTAAGGTAGTTAAAAATTGCTGAAACCATAAGGTTCAAGAAAGCATTATTAATGTCATTTTTGTTTTTGCTATATCGTAAGCAGTTTAAAAAGTGAGACAGGAAATAGCTTTTGTAATACTTTGCTCCAAAACAGATGCCTTAAAAAGAGTGTAGTATAAGAAACCGCTGCCTTTTAAAGCTTTACAAATTTTACATGGCATTTAGTTCCTAAATAATGTCTCAGAAATACAGTAAAGTCTGGATGCCAGAAACTATTTAAGACTGATATATCAAATTTCAATTGGGGACTTCCGGTGGCAGGCGCCTTCGCTGGACGCAGCTGTTTGCTGCTCCCGCCTGTTTCTGCGTAAAAGCCGTTTTGACAGCCTGCATCAGCTGTCAAACGGCTTGATACCTTTCCCCTGGGCATAGGGGGAAAGGTGAGCTGCCCGAGGTAGGAGTTGAGTTCCCGAGTCGTCCCGTGTGGACGATGTAGGTGAGAACTCCTCCGGAGCCTCGGGATTCTCCGCGATCCAGGACGTCTTCGCTATAAGCGAAGCTAGAAGCTGCCGTCACCGCTGCAACCTAAAGATAACTGTGAGTTCCGTATAAGCAGACGAACCGACCCTGGAAGTCTGTTTTTTAATTTTTGGACTATACTCTAACTTGGACAATATATTCTTCTCGTATTTGCGTTGGAATGTGGAAAAGTGAACTTAAAATGGCGCTGATTTGATACTTTTCAGCAAGAAGTGAAAGTGATTTCCGGTTTGAACTTTTGTTATTCTTAACCGGCGCATTACATGCTTTGGCTGAACTTTCTATAAGACTTTTTAACAAAGTGGATTATATTGCAAACATGGCTTCGAAAAAGACTGCGCCCTCGATTGTAAAATACACATCTTCGACGGTCCAGACACCTCAGTCAACTTCAAAAACTTCCCACTCGTCACACCCTCCATCTTCCTCGTCTCCACCGCCTTCTGGTAAAGAAATGCAGGATTTGCTGGCTGCAACTATTAAGCAAATGACTGAGATGTTTCAAGAAATGGATATTAAAATGCAAAATAGATTTGACCAATTATCACAGCAACAATTGGATTTATCACAGAAGCAAGATGATTTGGTACAGAAGCAAGATGATTATTGTTCTAATGTGGCAACTGCCTTTAAGGGTCTGGCGGATTATGTCGATGCAATAGCAGAAAGGGTGGAGCAGAATGAGCAAAAAGCAGAAGGAAGTGACCAGAGACTTGAACTTGTAGAGGAGGGTCTGGAAAACGTTAGGAGTGATGTGTTGATCGCCCAATTTCGGGATATGGAATTTGCAATTCGGATTCGTGGGTTAGCTGAGGACCCAAAGGAGAATTTAAGACAAGTAATTGCAGATGCACTTGGGGATGCTTTATCGTGTGGTCAGGAAATCTATCTTGAAATAGAGTGTGTGTTTAGGGTAAACTCATGGATTGCAAAGCAAAAGAATTTGCCCAGAGACATTGTGATCTACTTTACAAGAAAGTCTAGGCGTAATGAAATAATGCAGCTCTTTTACCAACAGAGATTTAAAATTTTGAATCAAGATATCATTCTTTTAAAGGAAATTCCAGCAAAAATATTTAGAGCGCGCAGAGATTATGCCTTTTTGACACAGGAGCTGAAGCTCAGACAAATAAATTTTAGATGGGATATACCCGTGGGCATAATTGTAACAATATCTGGTAAACGTTACAGGCTTAATTCGATTAGTAAGGCTAAAGACTTTATGGTGTCTGTTTTACAATCAGAACGCCCACTTACACCTCAGAGAGCTGATCTGCCTGAGCAGATGATTGTGGATTTTTCTTCTGCCTCTGTTCAAGATCTAGAGGAAAGCTCAAAAGCTAATGGAAAGGAACAAAGAATCACGCGCGCAGCTCATAGACGTAAAGAAAAGGAAAGACAGATGACAGCTCGACCACCAGCTGATAGCCCTCCAGCTGATTGTCAAATACCGGCTATTTCTCAGCCAGTAGGCGGCGCTCGTCCTAAGGTCTTTGTGAAATCATATGCGGCTAGCCTTGTCAGTGGAATAAATCCTCCTAATGTGTAAGTTAATATCATGGAATGTAGGGGGACTCAACGTTCCCCATAAAAGACGCAAGATTTTTCATTACTTAAGACATTTTAATAATGACATTACATGCCTACAAGAGACTCATATTGTGGCTAAAGACCAAAAACTATTACTGAACTCTAAGTTTGGAGAGCTGTTTGCTGCACCTGCTTTAAAAAAGAGAGCCGGGATTGCAATGTATATTAAAAGTCATCTTTCACCTGTTTTAAAAGAAGCTGATAAAGAAGGAAGATATTTATTTGTGGAAATAAATTTAAATGGAAGAAAGTGTCTAATAATAGGGGTTTATGCACCCAATCAACTTGTAGCTCAAAAGCAATTTTATAGACATTTACATCAGAAAATTGTGGCGATGGATTATAATTCTTTGATTGTTATGGGAGACTGGAATGGGGTTATGGATACGATAAAAGATAAAAAAACAACTTCTAAGGATGTAACCCTTTCCAGATTACCTAAATCCTTTTTTGCTATGAAAGATGACCTAGAATTAACGGATGCCTGGAGGTCACAACACATTAATGAACGTGATTTTACTTTTTTCTCTCACAGACATGACTCTTTTTCAAGGATTGACTTTGCTTTGATATCGACTGATTTACTTACAGATTGTAATAAAACTAAAATTTTTCCTAGAACCTTGTCTGATCATAGTATGGTTTGGATGGAGATTGGTCAAAAAATAAAGAGGAAATTTTGGAGAATAAATGAAAATTTGTTTAACTATGAGGATAAGGTTAAGGCTTTGAAGGAATCTATGGAAGAGTTCTTTCAACTTAATATGCATAAGGAAACTTCTATAAACATTGTATGGGATGCTGGAAAGGCTTATCTAAGAGGAATACTAATTGCTATGAATAACGCCTATAAACGCAAGCAAGCTCAGACCAGAATTAACTTGGAAAAAGAAATTGGGATGAAGGAAAAATTATTATTACAACGACCAACAGACATTAATTTAAAAAACTCTATTAAAATGCTTAAAGACCAATTTAATTTACTAATTGCTGATCAGGTGGCCACCAATTTGAGGTATATTAAACATAATACATTTGCTAATGCAAACAAACCTG